CACATAAAACACACACTCATGGTGCCACAAACACATACACACAGATGCATAAATGCCCTCGTGGACGGGTGGACACACACTCAGAGGCAGTAGTGCAGGCCTTTATTCTCGACACAGCTTCAGCACCCCCAACCAAATCTCATTAATACAGACTTGACTGACAGCTCGCTGTTGCCATGGCAACCCCATACCTGTTGCCAAATGGGGCCGGGAGTGTAGGGGCGTATGAATGTAACTCAAACCTATCACAGTTCAATTTCGGCTGCGTGTCAGAAGCCGCTGAGTCTGCTGCCGGCACACACAATCACACACACGGGAATGGAGAACAGTTTTGTTCATTTCAGTGCGATTCAATCCGGCTCACTTCAGTGCAACCGTAATGCCCTGTTCTGTACGTTTTGTTATGGCAGAAGCTGAATTCTCCACGAGTGAAATAGGCCTACTTCTTTACGTGACACTCTCTTCTGCTTCTTCTGCTCATTTCATACTCCTGTGTTCCATGTCATTCTAGGAAGATAAGACGAAACTAACATAAGATGAAACTGCTTTGCTTAATTCACCCCTCCAAGGTCCTCTACTGTTATCTAGTGTAATCACTGCATATTCTCATCTTGCTTTACTGTTGTTCATTCCCAAACTATGCTATTTTGTGTGCTACTGGAAAATGACTCTCTAGGCCAGGAGAGGCCAATCCCAGTCCTCGAGTGCCGCTGCCCTACTTGTTTTCTAATTATCTCTGCCCTACCTGCTGCTGATTACCTGGCTCATGTGTTCAGTCAGTCAGAAGCTGCGAGACACCAGTTTACTTTGTCTTTTCTCATCCACCTTCATCTAAGATGATAGCTTCCAGCTTCTGGTTCTGATTCTCTCAAGCTGAGACTGGGAGTTGGTTCCATAGGAGAGGAGCTTGATAGCTAAAGGCTCTGCCTCCCATTCTACTTCTGTGGACTCTAGGAACCACAAGTAAACCTGCACTCTAAGAGCGAAGTGCTCTGTTAGGATGATAAGGCTCTACGAGGTCTTTAAGATACGATGGAGCCTTGTCATTAAGGGCTTTGTATGTTAGGAGAAGGATTTTGAATTCTATTCTGAATTTTACAGGGAGCCAGTGGAGAGAAGCTAATATGGGAGAGATATGATCTCTCTTGCTAGTTCCTGTCAGTACTCTGGCTGCAGCATTTTGGATTAACTGGAGGCTTTTTAGGGAATTATTGGGACATCCTGATAGTAAAACGTTACAGTAGTCCAGCCTGGAAGTAACAAATGCATGGACCAGTTTTTCAGCATCACTTTGAGACAGAATGCTCAGGTGATATTCTCTGGTTTTCTCTCCTATGGAACCAACTCCCAGTGTCAGCTTGAGAGAATCAGAACCAGAAGCTGGAAGCTATCATCTTAGATGAAGGTGGATGAGAAAAGACAAAGTAAACTGGTTTTCCTGGTCTTTTATAATAATACATTGAATATCTTTAGGTTTAGGACTGTTGATTGAACAAAACAACACATTCTGGGAAACTCCATTTTTCAACCCCACTCAAAAAAACAAAATTATCAACTGAAAAACAATCAGCAGATTAATCAATGAGGAAAAAAGTGCTGCTGCTCCTATTCACTGATCAGTGAAGTGCCATAAATGGACCTGCCTGGATTCTCCAGTTCTATGTTGTTGTCTTTGCTGTTCTACATTATATTTTCTATTATGTTCTATATTCGACAAAAAGCCGAATATGAGATTTTTCTCTAGGCTTCTGAATTACTGCAGCAAATAAGCACTCTGGCAAACCGTTTGACAACAGCAGGTGACTCTCCTGATAATAAAAATAAAAAAGATTAAAACTAAACATTCATTTCAGTTTTGCTGGGTAAGCCAAATATGCTAATAATATAATAAGTTACATACTGATAGAGGTATAGACATTGGGAACGACTACGGAAAGTTTGTGCTTAACTGATGGATGCAACAATTAGACCTTAAAGGCCCCGCACAGCCCTGCTGCACTAGGTGATTCCCCTTATTTTGCTGGGTTAGCCTTGTGTGTACAGACTGTACGTGACTGACATCTTCCTCACTCACAAACTAATTCTGATGCAGCCTTCAGGGTGAGAAAACTTTCATCATTCTCATTAGTGCGTGGAGTGTAATGACCTCACGTAATTCACCACGACTTCACCCGTCTCCAACCTGAGCAGAGGTTTAATTAGAATAACTGAACATCCTTGTGAGTGTGCAGGCCCTTTAAACCAAGCCTTTCTTTATCTATCAAATGTCTTATAAAAGCAGCGCTGGTGACTGATGATAGCTTTTAGGTGTAACCAAAAGCTGGAGCCAAGAGCTCTGTTATTGTTGGAAATAACTCCACTCGTACAGTTGTAATGTTGTTTGCTTTTCTGAGAGTCACATTGGATTTTCCTTGTGAAATGTGCTTATAAATAAGATTCTGCTTGCTCGCAGTGAATCAGACCAGACCGTGCAACAGCATTAGTATGAAAGCTGGGAGATGAGGCATCAGATTTTCTCAATGATGTACTGTCAAGGTTAGAGAATCACTTGAGGTTTTAAGAAGTTTTATGTGGTCAGAGTGTGGCTGCTTCTCTATTCAACTCCATTCTAATAAAATGAAATACAGTGACAAGAAGGGTTATTTGGAAGAAGATACAGGAGAGTAATCACGCACACATTCAAGACATCGTAAAACAACATCAGTCTACAATCTATAGTGAAGTAATGGATTTTGGCTTTTAATAAAAGTGATGTTTCTTTAGCTTGGTGTTCCATGTCTACTTTTTCATTTGATTATCAAGTCTGGAACAAAACAACTGCTGCCTTTTCTCATCAGGCAGCCTTCCTGGAACAAAGTAAGCTAAATTAAGTGGAGCTTAAATCAATGTGACATAAAACAGTGGCAGCAAGCAGAAATATTCTCTACACTGGCCAAGCTTGGCCAGCAACAGCAGTGCAGCCTGGAGAGTGTGCACGATAGATAAGACGAAATCTGATTACTGTACATTTGGTCCTGTAACTTTGATTCAGACTCGTCAACTAGGTCATTTTCTGTGCTGCCACAAGCACACGCCACCTCTCACCATCACACCAAGAAACAGCATTAACTGAGACAAACGCACACATCACAGGGCCACACAGACTGATGCAGCTGTTCACGTCACCGTGAGGCCTGTCAGCAGACTCAGTAGATGGTGTGGGACCTGTGGGTTTCAGTCTGTATGCGTGTGTATGTCTGCGGGTTGCAGCAGATGGTCATGAATACTGACTCCAGCACCCTGCAATGACCTCCACCACTTAACCCCCCCCATACTGAAACATGTTATAAGCCAGGCACAGGTCTACACTGATAGATGATGGGAACTCGTTGAACCCTTCTGTGGAAGATCCTGTTAGCAAAAGAACTTGTATAACAACAAAAACAGTAACAAGTCTGAGTTAGGTGGCACTTATCAGAGCTAGAGATAAATCAACTACCATGTTTAAAACTGTTGGAAAAGTTCTGAATCAAAGACGACTTTAAAGAACTAGCACCAACAAAGATGGACCGCTACAGTACGTCACTCATATTGTTGTCCCAGAACACACGACAGCCTGCAGCTAAAGGTCAGCTTGTTCCCAGTATACATGGTATGAACAGCACATTGTCACTGCATGAGAGCAAAATAACTAGTAAGTAGTTTTCCATGACAGTCTTATCATATATTTGGGACACAGATGAAGAATGTCTGCTTTGCACACATGTACAGGCAAGTCAGACAACTCCCTTATTGACTGCAATGTTCTGAACTGACCAAACGGTTACTGACAGGGGCAGATCAGTGTCAGCTGTTCTCAGTAAGCCAAAAAACTGCAGATGCTGGTCGACCACATGGAGTCTGACAGCACCCAACTGCTGACTGGTATGTGGACACACCTTTATTTACCTTGGTCACTTTGCTGATCCTGTGTTTTTACAACCTAAATTTCTAACTTTACCCCAGTTTTAATAAAGCAACCTACGCAAAGACCAAATATGTTCTGAATGATTCATGAAGGTCATGATATGATCATATTCAAACAAAATGTTGATATGCGAGACCCCAGTGGGAAAGGAGCCTCTGACTTTGTCCACTTAAACAGGACCATATGTACTGGACATTATTTACTATATCAACACTGTGTTATTTTTCTTTCCATGAAAAATGTGTCATTGTGGATTTATGGTGTAAATTCCTCACTTTTCACCTCTTTGCTGAGGGTCAGGGGAGTGACAGAATTGGGTTGGGCTCTGGACTGGATCTAGTCCAGTCAGACAGGCTTTCAACTGAGCTTGTGGCTGATTGCTAGTGTTGGGGTGAGACTGGCTGTAGCTCTCTGCAGGCTCAATAGCTGAACATGTTTTGTAAGGACAAAAAGCAAAACAGATGATAAAAGACGAGTGCGGTTTTATAAAAGTGCTGTCTGTTGTACCTTTAATGGGGGGTTTACCAAGTTCCAGGAATTTGTAATGTAACTTTTTTGTTGTGTTCATCTCCGTGGATCAACCTTTACTTCACTGACAATCCTCAGATAATTACATTGCTTTAGATCAAAAGTTGACATAATATTCATGACCCATATTCCAAACATTAAATGTCTAGAGGAAACACTGAACACTTCTCCACTGAGGCTACAGCACACCAAGTCTAGACAGAAGCCTGTTTTCACGATACCGTAGCTGAAAATATGTGATGTCAACCAGCAGGATAAACACAGAAGCACTGCCAAAGAGCAAAACCAAAAACTGTTTCCAAGGTATTTTATGGGACAGATTCTCGTGTAATGTAGTGTGAGTGCAAAGTTCACTGTGTGTATATTCATCGACCAACATTTATCAAGTAGACAAGTGTATTGTCATGGTTAGGCGTTTTCTACTGTGGTCGTCCGTGGTGAAAAACGGTGGTCTTCTACTAGTTTAAGCATCCACCACACAAAACAGCTATGTCATGTTATGTCAAATACAAGTTCACGGCCTTACCTGTTCTTGTCTCTGCAGCCAGTGGTCCACTATTGGGTGATTGGCACTGAGTGATGACCGGGCTGCTTCTCTCTGAAACTCTCTCTGATTGGCCCAGGTCCCTGCGTCCCGCGGCAGGCTGCGGTATGTGTCCATACCTTTACCCTGCACACACATACGAGCAAAGTGTTCAGTCGATTCCGGTTCTGTAATGTGAAACGAACACTGACATATACAGTATATGAAGGACATGGTGTCTCCACGTCCTTCCACTATGCAAAAATGAAGACAAACTATTGTGAGTACAGCGCCTGCCATCTTGCTTTTTTGCAACCATATTCTGTGCAGTAGCGACCAGAAGTGGAGCGACAGCATCGGACCACCAATCAAAGCTGTCAAATCAGCTGAAATACCTCTTTTTGTATCATCATGCAACATTAGAAACAACCTTACCAGAAAGGTGACCGCTTGTACAAACATCAGTGTTTTAATATCTACCAAAAAACACAAAAGGGACCTTTGGGGAAAATGTATTTGATTTGTACTTTTGAGGTTTTAGTTTGGCTCCTGTCCTATCCACTAACACAGAGGTGGCAGGATTTCTGACCTATACTGCAACTGGCCACATCAGACGGCTTTAAAGATGTCTGTTGATAGTTTTTTTTGTTTGTTTTTTAACAGTCGACGGAAACAACTATGCTATTTTGAATTGAGAATATGGCTAGTTCTTTTTTAACATGTTGATTTTCTTAGTGACAGGAAAGTTGGACTGGAGATGTTTTTTGCAGATTTGAAATATTTTACATGATATTGGATTAGCATTTGTTGGATATGTGTAAAATTATGTGTGTTGACATATCAACTGTTTTTACATGCTTGAAAAAAAGAAAGAATAAAATAAATAAATATTTACTGACAACTTTCAGGGGAAGCTTTTTTTTCCCCATGATGTTTACGTAGAAGCCTTTAGCACATCTGTATAAAAATGGCCATCAAAGTCTAGAAGTTTTTATATGAGTGTGTTGTTGGCTCTATCTCCCGGCTGCCGACCTTCCTCTCCAGGCTGTTGGTGCCGGTGGAGTGGCGAGCTTTCAGGAAGCCTGCAGTGGTGGACCAGCGGGTTGGGTTCTTCCTCGATGGCGGCTCTTCTGTTTGGACCCGTGACTCGGCGCCACCAAATGGGCCATTAATGGTCAGCAGGGCAGGGTCACTGCTGCGCCGGACGTGGAGGGGCATATCTGAAAGAAAGGGAAAACATCAGGGGTGTTAAAGCTGATTTTCAACTTTTTTGGATAATGTGCTTTCCCTTACTCTGGGCTGGAGGAAATGATTTTTGTGATCTATATAATTAAAACTGCACCCATTGTTGTAACTGATAAGAATCAAAACAAATATTTAATATTGTGTTTAAGGATGATTGATGTGAACATGCTGGAACAAATGTTGTTCCTCAACCAACGTAAGATAAAGGCAACTAAGCATTGAGATTCCATTATCATACCATTGTGAATTAATCAGATCTAAACCACTCAAAGTCTCATCAGGTACTTCTAGTTTCTGCTTTACTGACAGTGAATCCCCTCGTTGCACGGAGCAGCAGGCTGTGTGGGAACAACAATATAAGGAAGAGTCAACTGACAAACACCAGTGCAAGCGGATGCTTTCCATTAAAAGTCTTCACTCTGTTTAAAAGTTGTGGTGTGTGGGAAGTAGGAAAGGTCTGAGTAACAACTCCACAAGGTCAGCGTGCACACAACACCACAGCCTGCACACAAGACAGTGTTGTGACATTTTCGACTGGCTGAAAAGGCATCCAGCAGACAAACAAGAGGGATGGTGTGTACATGAAACACAAAAGTGGTTTAAAAATTTGGAGCATCTTCTCCAGATGACAATGTCAAGTGTCATGTTCCTGTCTGGATGTGGCATGTGCTCTTACAATAAATACTCTGAACTGTCCAAAGAGAGCAGTGTGTGAGCGGTCAACTGTTCTGCCTGTATGTGTACTGTGAGAGTAAGTGAAAGGCAAGATTAACTGAGTCCATCTGTGCGTGCGTGTTCCTGTTTATGTGTCTACTCTGATAAACTGTTGAGTTGGTGTGTATCTTTGAAAATTTAATACATCTGTTTAGTGTGTGCACGCAAACTGAAGTGGCTCTGTGCGTGGGTTTGTGAACCATTACCCGGCTGTGTGTGTGTAAAGACGGTGCGTTTGTCATGAGTCTGGATTTTGTTTGTACACATTTTTGTCTGGAGATATCTGAGCCAAGAGCTACAGTATTTGCTTAGAATCTGGAAGTGTGTGTGTCTGTGTACACTCATGAACTTGGCTGACTGATGTTGTTGGGTCACTCAGAGCATGGGACCTAAATCGCCTTGTGCTGTGGGAGACAGCGGCACTCTGGGAGATTGAGTTCAAGCGGGACAGAGTGCAGGAGGCAACAGGGCACAGGACCACAGTTAAACAGTGACAAGGGCTGGGTCCCAGCTCCACACCATGTGCTAGTACTGTGCTAATGGCAAACACTTGTGCATCTCCAACCTTTGTGAAAGAGCAATGCAGATATCACTGGAGTGCCCCTGAAGCTGACTCTGAGAACTTTAAATGCTAAATTTGGAAACAAAAGGTTAACGATTTGCACACAGCCTACATTGTTTTCCTTTGTTTCTGCGGATACTGTAAGTAGCTATGTAAGGGACACCTGTGATTTCTCCACACCTCGTTCTTTCCTCTGGGATTCTGGTCGCACTTCCTCTCCAGTCTTCTCCCCCTGGCCCTGCAGCTGTCCCTTACACATGTTATTTAGCTGCTATTCCTAAGGTTAGTTGACTTGAACTGCCAGATTCACGCAAAGATGGTTCGCATTTAGAATTAAACTTGTGTGGTCCTCAGTGAGAAGTCATTTCAATTGTTTGTTTTTTGTTTTCCCGAGCTCGTCAGCTCCACTCTCTTTGGCTAAGGCTCTGGTGTTGCTGGCTTTATCCATAGCTTCATAATGACTACCTGTTTGCCATTCTAAATCAGTGTGAGTTTGTCATAGTTGTCCAATTAAACCACCAGGTTATTAAATGTTAATCCACACCTTCCAGTCAATCAGAATCTAGAACTTCAGTGGCCACGGTGTAAGGCATGATAATATACTCTCACTAGATCCTATAGCAGCTGCAAAAAATTTGTTAATGCACCTTTAAAGTTTTACCTCCATGCAATCTATTTCTGTACTATTTGAGTGTTACAAATCACTTTTACTATATTTGTAAGATATTTTTTCTTCCATTATAATTAAAATTAACTTTTCAAACTGACCCAAAAACTGTGGCATCGTCCTTTAATCTGCATTTTTACATCAGCACAGGTTTTAAGTTAAACAGAGACAAGAAACCAGCATCAAGCCTTTGAGAGTTTCAATACAGCACTCAGTCTAATCAGCTTAATCGCTTTTCTTTTTAGTTTGTTGGACGAACAAGAAAACTGGCAACACAGTCTGGCGCCTCTAATCTTGCCTGACATAAATCAGTGATTGAAAGCTATCCTAATTAGGAGTTCATGAAAAAACAATCCTTCTCTTCCATGGCAGACATTTCTCTTAAACCCCATTAAAATTCAGCCGATGAGGTTCAGTGACGTCAATTAATCAGGGTCAGAATTTATCATTGAGATGGTTAAACAGGACGTAACCGGCAGGTGTGATTATGCACGAGATTTCCATTTTTAACTGCAAATTTCTATTCTGTATCTCATCCAGAAATCCAATTAGTACTGAAGTAACCTCCCTCGCACTCTGTGTATATTTGTGTGCACATGCA